TCTGCAAACAGCTGGATCAGCCGTCAGAGTGATGTCAAAAAAAGGGATAACGCAGATATTTTAAAGCAGGGTTGCAGGTCAAAATTTGTAACAAGACCTCACATGATGTTAGTGCTTGGAGTAAGTTGTTTTTAACAGAATAGAATAGAATAGAATAGAATAGAATAGCCTTTATTGTCCTGCCGAGGGGAAATTAAGGTGTCACAGCAGCATCAGTACAGAGGTTCACGTGCTAGTTACTTTACAAAGGTAATAGACAACAGAGAAACGAATGGTGTGCACTGAATTGGGCAAAAACTGGTGACGGAAAATCCAAAACCAATTTTGTAAAACTTGGGGCTAGTTAGGAATGTGAATTACTACAGCCTGTGAATGTAGTCACCAAATCCAGAGCATGGACCATCGTTTAACTTCCTACATCTTAAGTCTGGTAAAAATAACACTTGTAGACTTCTKTCAGGTTATTAAGAGACTAAAGGCATGCCTGTCTTTCTGGTGTAACATGATATGATCTTTAGCAATTGATTAAGTATGCACCAGCTAGTATTGTAGTCAAGACCACCTAAACCAGTGGTTCTTAAACTTTTTTGAGGTACCGAACCCACCAGTTTCGTATGTGCATTCACTGAACCCTTTTTAGTGATAAATAAAATATGATTTTTTTCCCCCCAAATTCAAGATAGGTAAATGTTTTTTACTGGTGTATAAAATGAGCCATGCACAAACATCACCTTGCTCAAAGTACAAAACCAGCACAGTGCGTAAACTAACAACAAATTTACAGTATGACTTTATTCTGGCCCCAAAAAAATATTTTGGCCCCATAAAAAATTTCAGCCCCCCAAAAATATATATTTTTACTATTTTACTAATAAAAAATTAATTAGGATGTATTGAAGAATTTAACATTTTTTAATAACTTTTCTTTTAAAGTTAATATGTTTTTTGTCGTTTTGAATCCACAAAATACTTTTTTGGGGCCAGCACTGATTGGCCAAGCAATCTCACATGACCCTCTGCAGCAAGTAATGGCCAAGCGGGGCGTGTCATCATGACTTTACATAAGTGTGTCTTTACCTCCGCGGCAGATGCTCTGCCGAATCCCTGAGACCGGCTCATCGAACCCCTAGGGTTCAATCAAACCCTGTGGTTAAGAACCACTGACCTAAACAGAGACCAAGTCAAGACCAAGACTTTTAGGAGTTAGGATCAAGACTTGGGGACAAAAAAAATTGACTAAAAACCAAGAATATTGGTACAGAAGCAGATTGCTAACGTTAGCTAGTTTTGCTAATATCACTTTCACAAAGCTTACCTGTCTTTGTGCTTTCTTTCTAAGTGCTACTAAAAGTTTGTTGTTGTCCCTATCATCTCTGAAAGTGAAGCACAGCAGAATTTACAMGYCACTGTATGCTTTCTCCTGGATGTTGTTTTATAAATGTATTCTTTATGATTAATTTAGCCAAACTGCAGACATCTTCTCTTGCTATACCAGACAACCACAACTCACTTTCTTGGAGTGCCATGTGCAAGTGAAAAGTTGAGGATGGGAAACAAAAATACATCATTAGCAATGAGTCATGCTTGATTTGAATCAGTACTTTTCACATCCAATGAAAGCAAAGATTTTAACAAATAAATTGGACAATGTTCTGGCAATTTTGTGATATTTCCACAGCTGTGGTCTTGACTGGTCTTGAAATAAAACCCTAATGTCCGAGACAAGACAGAGTACAAATGTGGACTTGTCTGAGACCAGTGGTCTCAAGACCAGTCTCGAGCACTACAACATTGGCATGTCCAATAACAAATTATTTAAAAAGTGTCAAWCATCGATCTGTTACAGTAATCAGTCTCCACTCCTGACTATCACCTCATCACATGCAGATGCTTTTTTACTTTCTGACATGCATCAAAGTCAGTGAAGCTTCAAAGCATCATATTGTCTTGCTTAGTGTCCGTGAAGACTTTATAATGCTTAACCTAAACCAAGTTTGCTTACTGGCTAACCTAAACATTCCAAAACATGACCAAATATTAACAGAGGGAAAAGAATCAGTTTAATGAACAAGAAGAAGTTAAAGAGTTTCCTGAACACAAGTCTTGCGTTTAAAGGGACTTGTTTGTAAATGGAACTGGTCCAACACCTCAGATTATTATAAGTTTGTGAACGTAGGTAAATGTTGAAAATACATGGGTGTGGTGTTTTTTTTTTTAACCAAGCCACACAATTGTGTTGAGTTAGTTCAAACTAAGGAGTGGTTGAGCTGTTCTTGAATGTGTGGTTTGGTTGTGAAACAGATCAAACCAGTGGTCGATGCTCTGTGTGCAGTAAGTGGATCATTTCTTTGCTTCTTTCTGCAGGGTGGAAACGATTATGAAATTTTTAACGACCCACGGACTATTGGTTTCACAGTCTWCTCTCCCGAGGACACGGCCAGACTCTGTCGGGAACTTTTCTTTGACCCTTCACCACGTGACTCCTGATGTTCTGATCCAGACTCCACCAAGCATCTGGTCTGAACTGAATAACAGCCAGAACCCTGATCCTAAACTAATCATGAGCTGTTGAAAGGGGCTGCTACTGTTCCATCTGGATTAATAATATTGATTTAAAATATTATGAAGCAGCAGTGAAAGGATTAGACATCAAATGATTGGTAAAATGCACTTATGTTTTAAAGTACTGTTTTTGRCTGCTGTACTGTAACAAGTAACAAGAAAGAAAAGGTAAGGGCATAATTTTGCACTGTTGTTAATGTGATTTTTATTCTAATATTTGTTATTATCACTGCAAGAGGTGAGAGAAATGAAAGTGAATTAGAGGAAGGCTCCGTCCACACTACTTTAGATGTTTAAAAAAATAACTTTCTCTACTGGCTTTAWACCTCGTGTTCAAAAACAAACAGCRTATTTTAACAAGATTTTTTAAAAAGCCTTCCAAGGTGAACATTATTAATGTTTCTGTGGACTCAGCAGTTTATGTTGCAACAACGAGGCTGTTTTTACTGATTTTTTTTTTTTACAATTGTCTCACTTCATCCTGATTCTGTCAGCTGGAAATAGATCTACAGATTGTACTTTTCTCTGTTTTCATGTTGTTAAAGCTTGTCGCCACCTAGTGTCAGGAAATGGGTATTTTAGCATTTTCTTTTATTGGTTAAACAAAGATTTTTAATTCAAACTGGAAAAAGAAGTTTGTTTAAAATAATTTTCCAGAAGAGTGTGGACAGGACCCTTAAACCTGATTGTATTTGTCTATCTGAATGAAAATGTGATATAAATATAGTGAAAATAAGGATCTCTATTCCTCCACATGTAAAGGATTTATAGAAGGAAACTTACCTTTGGTGTCTAAACTGGATGCAGTTAGTCGATGGTTCATCGTGAATCTCTTYGTGTCAAATTTTTTAACATTACCAAGGTCCTAAAAAGAACATTTTTTCTGCTTGTTGAGATTATTTTAATGTGTTTGAGGGAAGATTTATAAGGTATTCAGTGCAGTGAAAGATTATTAAGCCACTTTTCAGTTTTTTATATTTTTCCTCAAAACAGTCAGACCTACTTGTAATCTTTCAAAATAATCTTGAACACATCCCACATAGTAAAATTTGTCTGGCCCAGTTCTGGTCCACACAACACTTGGCCCAGATACCTCAAAAATGATGGCCCAGATGTTTTTTGCCTGAGGTGGTCCAGGCTTGGGTCGACACCACATAAACCAAAACACTCTTAAAAGAAGTGTTTGAATCATACTTGGCAAAAAGACTTAACAAAACACACTTATTGTCAATAAGTAAAAATAAGTTTCATCTTAAGTTTTAACACTTCAACCAGCAACACACRTTTTTGTAACTTCTTTGTGGATTGAGAGCTAAAAAAGTTTAAGAATCACAGCTTTAAAAGATTACATGATAATCTGGCTCCTTTAGGAAAAAYATATAAAGAAATCCAGAGCCCAAGACTTTTGCACAGTACTGCACATTTTAAATCAATCTTTAACCAGGGAATTAAGCTACTGTGACCAGGTCACAATATAAACTTCTAAAAATGATTATGTCCTGTAAAATATGTAACAAAAAATGTCTTTCTCACGGCTTGCATGAAGTAATCTTGGCAAATAAATGTATTGATTTGTGTTGCTTAAAATCTGTAAAGCTGTAAAAAATGAATTGTATTTAATTTGAGTCATCTCAAAAGAACTGACAAACCA